TCCAGAATTACTGCTCTGTTTTACACGAACAGCACTTAAGAGAACATTTGAATCTCACGAGGTCCTACCTTGATTAAAGATAGCAGAGTGTAGTACAATTTTAGGACCTAGAAAATACCCAAAGTAAACATTAAAATATTTGATAAAAATAACATTTTATCTTTGCTACATTTTGCGTTTTTCTTTTAAAAGCCAAAATAAATAGCACAATATTTTCTTCTAACTCAAATACTCTGCAAATTCTGCTTTCCTTTAATCCGTTCATATGAGGGGTCAAATGACACCCTTTGCAGTCACCATGCACATACAGTATTAATATTATTAATTTATGGCACCGTTGGATTTTATTAGCCTTTAAATCCTATTTGTCTATCTTAAATCACCCTATTTAGCCTCGTGTTTTTTTCATGCAGTTTTCATTTCTATTAGAAGCCTATTGGAGAAAAGTAGAAACTGTGAAAGCTTACAACATATCCTCAATTTATAAAGTTTTTCAGGGGATTCAATACTGTTGGAAAAAACTTTCCAAATTATTTATCTATAAAAGTCACCATAAAGAGGATATGTCAATATTTTTGACATAAAAACACTAGAAACAGAAAGATCCTGTTTTGGGAGGTGGCCGCAGGGTGTACAGGGGTGAGTTTTATTTACCTCAGGCTGTCCCTCATGGATACCTCCATCTTCATACTGCAGGCCTTCTTTGGCTCCTGGTGCTTCAGTTGCCAGTAGCCACGTCAGTGATGTTCTCTCGCATATGCACATATGCATGACAGTGCCACACTGAGATCTATGAAGGACGCCACAAGAGCACAGGATTCTCCATAGATTGAGCCTGAATCCCAGAGACATAATTTGTGATGGCTGCTGGGATTGGACAAAAGTTGAAGGCTCTGCCTTTTGTCAGCCTCAGGCTTTACCATAGGACAAAGTAGTTCCTACTTTGATTATGGTATCTTTGGTTTGAATTGAAATTTCAATGAAATTCCAACACTGTCTTAATCAGTTTTTCATGAAGACTATATATGTATGAAACACTGTAACATGACAGATCTGCTTAAAGTCTATGGGAAATTCTGTAGATAAATCATTTGGAAAGTTTTCTAACAGTATTAGATCATTAAGAAAGTTTATCAAATCAAGGCCATAATAAGATATTGAAAACTACGGGTTACAGCGCAGAATGTTAAAAAGGCATTGTGTACTCTTACAAGTACAAGGCTCCAATACCAAAGGGTCATATTCTGTTATATAGGAAAACTGTCACTGTGACTTTTCCAATTTCTCCGTAAGCTGTAAAGATAAAATAAATAGAATAAGTAGGATAAAGTCAGTGATATGAGAAGGAATAGCCTTAGTGTTTTAATAAAAATGTATTCTTATAATTCTTTTGCAGGCTTAGCTAACAGTAAAAGCATAATCAATGTGTGAAGGTGATTGTAGAAAATATAATTTAAACCAAAACAAAATATTCAATACATAATTTATTTTTATGGTAAAAACCATGTGTCTTAGAGAGTCTATTAAGACGAGCCAATAAAATACTTATTTCAGTATCAGAAGAAATTTCTTAAAGTAAACCTTCCTTAAATCCTATACTATAGTGTTCAGTATTTTGTACTGTTAAATAGGTTTTATAGAAATGCATATAATCAATCTGCCAGTAAGAGCAGCTTCATAAGTACCATAGATTTAACATGTATATTATTGCCCATTAAGTCAAATCTCCCTTTTGTGGGGATGGGGTCAGCCACACAACGTGTGAAGAAGAGCTGTCGCAATTCCGCAATAGGGAAATAAATATCCATATAGCCCATAACACATAACAGTAAGCTTTGCATTACTGAAGTAAAATAGTCCATATCTACTAAACTAAATATTTGAAACAATTACATCAACTAAAAAATAAGAACATACTAAATGTAGGTTTAATAAATACATTTTGGTACACATTCTTTTTTAATCCCAGAAAGTGTTGTTTTTTAAACTCAATTCTAATTTGGCATGTTTGCAATACAATACATGTGTTATATTGTTTTGTCACAAATTTTAGCAATATTAATTGTGCTTATTATTAATTTGAGAGCATATGAAGATAGACATGTATATTTTATCATCTGTACCTTCCTTTTATTCTCATCCGTATTTCAATTAATACAGTCCATCACAACCTTTTTAATCACCCAACATTCCAATGAGACCTAAACCTGCTAGTTGCCACTGTGTTGCTATAACATGTATTTAAGCATAAAGCATTCATTGTATATGCCACCGCACTTTCTAATTTTCTAAAGGAAGCCATTAAACAGGAAGCAATGTATTCTGGGAATATTTTCAGAGTCCCTCTGAAACAGCCTATATGCTTTCATAGTTTACATATTTCATATGAACAGGTTTTTATTTTTTATTTTTTTCAGGGAAACAATTCAGTGCTCATCACCGAGCACCCATTGTGTGATTGGCGCAAAGGTGATCTTTGGAAAGTCCTTACAAAATGATCCTTGTGTCAAGTTCAGCACAACATTTTAACAGGGTCTCTGCTATATTATGAATGTGAAAAAAAAAATATGTATGTGTTTGTAGTATCTTTATGGAATCGAGTTTCCCTATGGACTGCAGAGTAATAGAACAGTCTAGTAAGGCTGTTTGCACAATGACTATATCCATAGCAGTTTAAGGCCAAGCAGAGGGCGCCATCTTTGAAAGTTGCTGTCTGGTGGTTCTTTGTAAATGAAGCCATTGGACTGGCCACTGTTTCTTAAACCATTATGGTTTTCAAGAATGCCTATGGCTATATGATAAAGACCAGCAGCCTGGTTTATGATGTTCTCAGCCATCTTCTTGATAAACACAGTCTAAATGTAATCTATAACATGTTTTTCATGAGCTGTAACGTTGATGTATTGAGTGCGAACTGCTTCGGTTAGCTCTGTAAAGCGATGCATATGTTTTCACTGTCAAAGCAAAATCAGTATTTTCACAATAAATGTGTTGGTTCATTAATGTGTCTGTAGTGCACATCCGTGATGATAACATAAAATCCAGGTGTACAGAAGACCACATTTCCAAATAAGGTTGTCACATTGTGAAATCTCGTGTTCCACTTTATTAGCACAGCATATTGTCCTAATTGAATCTCACGCGTTTCATTTTTTTTTTCTACCAAACTTTTAAGTCTATAAATATATTTATCATAAAATAAGTTTACAGGGCATTGAACTGAATAAAATTCAGTGTAAAACTTCAAAGCACAGCATTTCTATTCAGAGTATATTAGTTGGATGAGTTATATAAATACTAGGCTTGTGCCAACACATAAAAGTCAGTTTCTTCATTTCTTGCCATTTTTTTTTTTTTTTTGCCAAGCTTCAGTACATACCTTTATTTATCAGTTCTTATACTCTTAGCTTAATGAATCAAATATAAATATACTTTTACATTTTAATTTGAGTTCTACTTGGCAGGTTTTTCCATTAGCATTTGGAAAGACTTTATGGCAATTATCCATTCAATATATAACATGCATGTATATGTGTGTGTGTATATCTGTTTAAATATACAAATCTGTTGATTTATAGAGTATATACATGTCAGGCCAAGCTTCTTTTCTTATTTAAAGTGGCACTGTTATTTTTTTTCAAAGTGAATTTTAAATTTAAGGGCAAAGTAGTTGAACTGTAAAAAATTAAATTCTAATTCAGCCGTGCTTCCATTCAGCTGCTTTGGCCTTGCATTTGAAGTTCACTATTACTTCTTTTGGGATTCTAAATTTAGTGAATAACCCTGTAAGTATCACATGAACTATATGCGTGATATGGCTTTCAATGTCTGGGGAGCACAGAAACACACACACACACACCATATTGAGATGACTCACTCACATCTATATGATTCTTCGCTAACAAGTAGGGAAAGAGCACCTTTCACTTGCCTTATAAGAAGTTACAGACACTGGAGACCTCTCTCCCTTTTACACAGAGATGAGCAAGTGGTAGGAAGACCTACATTCAAAGTTTCATAGTAGTAAAAATGTAAATTCATCACCTAAAATATGTTTGGCTCAGCTGCAAATGACAGAAAAATTATGGGGTTTTTTCATTGTGCATAAGCTATTGGCAAATTTTAGATAGGTGATGACTAACTATTAAGTTCAATATTATATATATATACATTTTGTTATATCTGAGTACATGCCAGGATCATCATATGTCAATGTAGGATCATCAGATGTCAATGTTGTGTTGTAGATACCTTAAAGGACCACTCTAGGCACCCAGACCACTTCAGCTTAATGAAGTGGTCTGGGTGCCAGGTCCAGCTAGGGTTAACCCATTTTTTAATAAACATAGCAGTTTAAGAGAAACTGCTATGTTTATGAATGGGTTAAGCCTTCCCCCTAATCCTCTAGTGGCTGTCTCATTGACAGCCACTAGAGGCGCTTGCGTGTTTCTCACTGTGATTTTCACAGTGAGAGCACGCAAGCATCCATAGGAAAGCATTGTAAATGCTTTCCTATGTGCCCGGCTGAATGCGCGCGCAGCTCTTGCCGCGCGTGCGCATTCAGCCGACGGGGAGGAGAGGAGGAGGAGGAGAGAAGGAGGAGAGCTCTCCGCCCAGTGCTGGAAAAAGGTACGTTTTTAACCCTTTCCCCTTTCCAGAGCCGGGCGGGAGGGGTCCCTGAGGGTGGGGGCACCCTCAGGGCACTATAGTGCCAGGAAAACAAGTATGTTTTCCTGGCACTATAGTGGTCCTTTAAGCACCAAAACCACTAAATCACTGAAAAACACTGGAGTTTTTGAAAAGTTGAAATCTTTACATTTGTCCAGAAAGATGCCTCTAGTGTTAGACAGACAGACATTATCCTTAAAATCTTTGATTTTAGAACTTCAAGTTTGGTTGTGTGTGATGATACCAAACACAGCTAAATTCTTGTTCATGCAAATAATTCGGCAAAACGATTCAGAAGAGAAAAATAAAAGAGCAAAAATGTGCCAGTCGGTGTACTGCAAAATGCAAATGTATTATGTATATATTTTTCAGTAAAATCATGGGCACATTTTTGCACCAATTGGTGCACAGATCTAATCTAAACTATAAACTAAAACTCAAATAATGGAAAGAAATACAGTGAATTTGTAAGCTACCTGGGTGGCATCTGTGGTGTTATACCCAGCAAAAATAGGTATATAGCATGTCCATATTTACATTGTGGCCCATGTTTATTAAGAAGGAATATGATCAAGATGCTATAATTTCCACTTCCAGATTATAGATTGGGATGTACTGCTTAACCTCTGAAAATATTCTGTAGAGAGTTTTCGTTTGTTGGTTTATTTTTTGCAACAGATTTTCTACTTTAGTATATGGGTGAATTTAGTGACGAAACCATAATAACAATTTTTACACATAATAGAACACAGCCATTCTATTTAGCACATCTAAAATAAGACAGAATGCTTTTAAAGCACAGAAAGTATTTCTTTGTTTTATATAGCATAAGAACACGTATGTAATAAATAGAAACGTGCTTGATGTTAATGTGGGTTCACAGTTTGTACAGAAAATAATACAAAAAATAATTGAAAAAAATAACTTGATTCAGTCAGACAGCTAATTTTACATTGCTTTTAAAGTCAACATCATGAAAAATAATCCTTGACAAATGTTCTGATGTTTTTTCTTACTTTTTATCATGACTGTTGTACCACAGTTAAAAATAAAAAGCTGATAAACTTTTTATTAATGTGAACTGGGTTAACTCGAATACTGTGCAAAATCTACTACGTTCAAATACCAACAAACTGTTTCACTTCACTGCCTCTATAAATAGTCTCTTTATGGTAGAATTTTGCTATGCCTTCTACCCAAATGCACCTAACAAAATCAAGTCATAAACTGGAGAGTCCAAAAAACATCCTATCGCAAAGTACCTTGCAGATAGTTCTTTGAAGGACACTTTGGAATTAGCACAAAGTAGTCTGCCCTAGCAATTATTGTACTGTAGTGCAGTGTTTCCCAACCCAGTCCTCAAGGCACACCTACCAGTCCAGGATTTAGGGATTACCCAGTTGTGTCTAAGGTGTTTTTACAAAGAAGAAAACAAACACCTTAGACACAACTGGGTAATCCATAAATCCTGGACTGGTAGGTGTGCCTTGAGGACTGGGTTGGGAAACACTGCTGTAGTGCATACTGTTTTGATGTTTTTGGCTGGCCCCAGGGTGCTCCAGAGCACTTTCACTCCTGTTAAAATGTCAGAGCACTTTCAATCCTGTTAAAATGTACCTATTGTGGTGCTATTCTTGATGCGGAATTACCTATTATGGTGCAGTTCTTGGTGAGGAACAATTGTTTTGTCCTTGTATGGTACTGCTCTGCTGTGCACTTTTCCTGTTACCTATACCAATTGCAAGCCTATGAGGAAAAGTTATTGATTTTATTTTTTTTGCTAAGCCATACATTTTCCATTTTTAATGAACCTTTCCAATCTTTCCAATTTTCCAAAAGCCTTGATTTAACCGCAAACTCATAGGGTTACAGTTTCACGCTATGCCTTAAAGTGGAACTGTCATTTTTCTGTAAATACCATGATTGAATAAACCATTGAAAATCACTTAAGAAGTGTGTTAACTGTTTTTGTTGTTTTTTTTTTTTTTTTTTATGTGATGCTCCATTTTTTTAAAATGCATATTAAATATTCAGCAAGTAACATTATAATCCAGTTCTGCCTAGGCGTAGTCAGGGCACAAAATACAAATGTAAAGGAGAACAGAAATATTGTTTTTGGTTCTCCTCTTGCATTAATTCTGTTAAAAATGTTAACATTTATAACCGTGATTGACAGAGCTACAAGGGAATCACCCAATTAACAGACAAAAAGGTGTTGATTTCTATATTTAATTTCAGGTTTAACAATTCACAAATATAGATTTTTTTAAATATAAGTGATAAGTAAACTTAATACTAAAAATTCCGGGAAGTGGCAATTCTCTTTTAAAATCTTTTGGACATGGAGTGATATGCTCCTCATATTCTCCTAACAGGAGAAGACCGTAAGGAGCTCGAAATGATGATGAGACCCTCTGAGTCCAGGAGAATGGAAGAAGTGAATGGCCGAACAAGGACTCCTGTACGATCGGAGGCCCTAAAAGCAATCAGGAAAGAGACACAATGAGAAACTGGATGGATGGAACACCAAAGCACAAACAGTTTTTTTACATTTCTGTAGAATTTTGGTATTTCTTGACTTTTACTAATATATTGGCAATGAGTGATATAATGTGAAATTCAATCATTTGGTAAATATGGTAGTTGATTTGTTTTGGGTTTTTACACATTTTATTAATGGTATAGAGAAATTATATCTGTGCACATCAAATGCTTTCCCATCAAAAATGGACAAGAGTAAGAAAAACATATTTTGATAAAAGATTGAATCCAGTTCACTTCCAGAACTCTGGCTTTAACCCCTTAAGGACCAAACTTCTGGAATAAAATGGAATCATGACATGTCACACATGTCATGTGTCCTTAAGGGGTAAAATTTAAATTCACTTTGAATTTTTACTTTAGCAAATAACCCTATTCGTGTTAACAGGAGAATAATATATCTTGAGCCTTCCTGAATTGCTCTGTACAACACAATATAACCTTCTCCTTCCTAAACTTGCCCATATATTACACAATAAACATCCATTTGGGAGTAGCACGCTTCTGCAATCTATGGTCCTCAACAATAAGGTTTAATAAGCAAGTAGTCCACATCTGGATAACCATTTAGAATTAGGAAATTGGAACAACTTTCACAGGAGCAAAAATATGCCGTGCATATAACGCTCTGTATATTTTCCCTTATACATTTGAGCTGTTTAACATAATATAATGATTTTCTGCTAACTGGTCCTATTTTGATGTCTATTCATTAAATAGCAAGATCAATACAGTTGACAAGTACGATGTTGCTGAAATAATAATGCTTTACTCAATGTCCATCTGAATGTAGTATAATTTCTAGGGGTTATGATTCTGAGTTTCTACAATTCTCATTGCTGAATCCATAGAATATATATACAACCAAATGTTACTGACACTATGACCCTAAGACTAATGGCACTATCATACTGCGTCTTACTGTCATTTCATTTTACACCCAATACACAGTGGGAGCACACACCGTACAGTGGGATTGAATATTATATAGGCCAAAGGTTAACTCATTTATGTGTTTAAGCAAGCAAAACATAGACATGTGCTAAGCACTAATAAAATACTTGAATGTTTAAATATTACACAGCAAGGAAAACATTAATAGATTCTTACACATGGGTGTGAGTCACTTAAATGAGCAATAAGCAACATACCCATCACTAAATGGGTTTTAAAACATATAGCACTTATGAGACAGATTACTTAAAGAGTTGTGGTAAATTGGTATTAATTAGCTGTTTTATAAATGAATGTAATAAACATTTTAATGCTATATATAACATTTAGCCATGCATATACTACTGTTCAGTTAACACCCAACTAAACTGTTGTTTAGATTGTGTAATTTTTAAATACATTTTTTTTATCATTAATGTGAATTTAGCTTGATTAAGTCATTCTATTTTTAAATTAAATATAACCCCTTAAGCACAGCACAGAACCACTACAGCTTAATGTAGTGGTTTTGGTGTAAAGAGACTCTCCTCTGTAACCTGTGAAAAAGGTTGTATTCATACTTGACTCTAGGGACAACTGTAATGACTGTCACTTAGACAGCAACTAGAGGCATGTCCTGTTACAGACTAGAGATGTGCATGGGGGAAACATTTGTTTTGTTTATTTTTGATTCATTCATCATCTAATTTTGGTTTGTCTAAAATTTTGAAAATTTTGATTCGGACTTCCTAATTTGGTATCCTTAAATATGGAAATCACACAGGATAACACATTAGGCTGTTACCTGCTAAACAGCTGAAAGCTCAAAATTAAGAAAATCCTTTTTTTTTGCTCGCTTCTGAATTGCCGAATTCAGACTAAATTAGATTTGGAACAAAATGAGTTGCACTTGGTTACTGCAAAATTTGCAAGACTGATAACAAGTATTTCTCATGTAAACGCAAAACACGTTGAGGACACCGATCACTGTGAGACTGGTGCAGAGGCGGATGTGTGCTACACAGTCAGGTACTCATTGCAATCCCATTGTGCTAACAGATGGGTGCAAAGTTCTGTTCTCTAGCACTCGTTCATGACGTGGGGGGACATCACCCACTAACCTTATGTGGCCTGGCAAAGTACTATACTACTAAGATTTCTTTTTAGAGTAGGTGGTTACATTAAGAAGCTCATGCCTGGTTAAAAATGAAAAAAATAAAACAAAAAGACCCCACAAATATCCACCCGTTCCCTCCACCAACTGTGTAGATCTAGGGATAATGAGCCCCACATGCAGGGTTTCCGGAACCAAAGCCTCTAACCCTTAGCATCACCTATGGAATACATGTTTGTATTCCTAACATTAGTATAACATTATGATTATGGAAGTAAAATCACTGATCAAAACTAAGTGCAATTATACTTGGAAATATGGACATTATCTGTCAGTCAAACACACAAAAAGAGCTGTTTTGGGAGCTACACTATATCAGTTGTGGCTCATCACTGTGAGTGTGTATATATATAATATAAAGCATTTATTAAAGCATATATTAAAACATGAATGTAGGGATGTATTTCTATGGAGCTTATTCACTAAACTCCACATTGTAGCCAAATTTATTGTAGGGGGGGGGGGGGGATTAGAACTGCCTACATTTATGCAAACATTGTTTTAAGCAAACAAGTCATTTAGATTTTAATTTCCTACAATATGAACTTTAGTGAACTGCTTTGAGCAGATGTATTTAGGTTTTGTACTGCCCCAAAGACACATTTCATGCACCTCCTGCTTAGCTGAACATCACAGGAAATACAGTTCACAAACATATGGCTAGTTAGCAACTGTATATATTATTAATCACATGGTACAAGATGGTTAACCTGGGCAACCCAGATGTTTGTTTATAAACTACTGAAGCATCTAGGGTAGCAAGACCGCTAAGACAGCCATATTTTAAATGTTATAAGTTAGTATTAAATGAGAGAGAGAGAGAGAGAGAGAGAGAGTGTGTGTGTGTATAATATTCAGGGCTGCCATCAGAAATGTTGAGATCCCTAATACAGCTCAATGTAGTGCATACACTTCCACACACACTGTTACATAGATACACAGACACACACACCGACACACATGCAAATACACGGACACACAGATACACACAATGACAAATATATATACACTGACACACAAATACACACACAGACACAAAAGCACCTACAGATACACACATTGATACACAGAGACACACACTAATACAGATATTCCTGACACAAACACACACATGTGGACACACAGAAATAAATACTGACACACTGACATACATACTCACAGACACACATACTGAAACAGACATACATACACATAGATACAGACATACATACTGGCACACCCATACCGTGACACAGACATACACACACAAACATACAGACACACAGACATAGATACTCACACACACACATACATACTGACATACATACAGAAACACACACATAGTTAATGACACACATATACATACTGA